GTGGTCGAGTTGTCAAATTTCTCTTTTCTGACTTGACCTGTAGCTGCTGTCATGTCAGTGTGACTCGTTACTCAGTATTTCTCTTACAGTTTCAGGGGAATAAATACCTAAAAATCAGTGACACATGAAAGACCTAATAATACTAACAGCATGTGGCTCCATGTAGCCACTTGCTTTTTGAAATTCTTTATGAAACCCTACAGTGAGATTAGCATTGTGCTCCCAACTGTTGGATGAAAAGCCTGAGTGTGAAAAGTAACTAAACTGAAGTTGGGATCTGGTTTGACTTTGTAGGAGCTGCTCTGAAAGAGGATAGGGTATTGGGGAAGAAGTAGAAGAAAGTTCATCTGTTTTATGCTGTGCAGCTCCGTATGTAAGGGAACACGGGTGAACATATTTTTCATTTTTGTTAATAATTTCATTTGTGATAATGATCCTGCAAAAGCTACCAGGTAGCAGAAAAAGGTTTCTAAATCTGTTTTCGGTTAACCAAATGCCCTATTTTGACAGCATTAGATGCCAGTGCCTAAATGGTTGTGTGGAAGTCTAGTGAAATATCAAGGTGGATGTTTTAGCAGCTAGCTTGTGAGCTTTGGGGCTTCATACTTGGTGGTGGTTTTCTGTCCTTTCAGTGTCTTTTTCCATTCAGGGTCTTGTCCCACATGTGTCACCTGAGTGACTTTTATCATCTTCTTTTCCCATAGCAAGATGTGAGAACTTTCGGAAGTTTTTTGGCCCTTCTATCTGTCTTTTCCTACCACCATGTGTCTAACATCCTTGCACCTTGAGTAGGTCATGGCAAGAGAGCCCAGGAGTAGCAGGGTCTTGTCCATCTCTCTTCCGGAGAAGAACCAGGCCTAGCCATGGAGGCAGAAATGTCATTCTGAGAAATGGCTCTGACAGTGCTCAGGCTTGCAGCAGCTTTGCAGGACAGTTGGAGAGTAGGCTGGGTTCTTAAGAGTCTTCCCTGTAGAGAAGCAGCCCATCAAAGGAATGGAGCGCATGCTGAAGTTTGGGAGAGGTCAGCTTCTCAGGCTGACTTTTGAGGCTACATTCTTTAGTTAAGCAGCCACTGTGTTAGGAAGATGAGCAATCCTAAAGGCACAGAAATGACTGCTGGCACAAAAGAAGCTGTCATGCAGTCGAGGTCTGATAGGTCTTCCAAACTTTGGTCCAAACTGTCTTTTATCTTAGTAATTACTATTACTACTCCTTCCTCTTGGTGTAAGAAGCTTCTGACCAAAGGAGTGTAGCTAAATTAGATGGTGGTATAAAGCTCTTACTCATTCAACTGAATTCGGAACTTCTGGACAGTGTGATTCTCTACAGTTCCCATATGTTGTTCTTCACCTTTATTTCTTTTGAAAATTTATTTCTGTGATTTTTTTTGCTATCTTTCATCTCCTTGATCCCTACCATCCCTGAAACGACAAGGTATAAGAAGGAAAGGGAGTGCACAAGGGAAGAGAGCATGATGTCTTTTCCGTGCTTTGGTTTGCTGAAACTAGCCTTGATCTCAGAGATACCTTTTCATTCTGATATGGAAATTGGTCAGATCCCTGACCCGGACATGAAGGGATTGTAAAGGCCTTTGACTGCACTTCCAGCGAAGAACCCAATGGGCTGGCTGGTAGACTGATGCTCATGGGAGTAGGAGGTTGAATGGTGTCACAGCTGTGCACCGTTCAGTGGGTGCATTGATGGATACAATTCCATCTGCAGCTACAAGTGACTTGGTGGAACAGGAGAGCTAAGCAAGCCTTGAGAGGTTGCAGAGCACCTGGTACCACTGTAAACTTCTGGCCTTCTGGAAAAAGAAAATCTGGTTGCTTTGAGGCAATTTTTTGCTCAGTCTGTAGAGAGGAAATGTGCAGTGTTTTATGAGCATGTCTTTTGCAACTTCTGCTCCACTTTTACGGGTTTACTTGTGTGTGTGTGTGTGCGTGCACGCAGTCATGAGGCTGATGTTGTGGGGGAAATCTTTTCTGTCTCTACTAGGTATGGGCTGATGTAGGCATTCTGCATATGAGAATGATGTTGAGAGAAGACTTGGCATTCAAGGTGGGATGTTGAATTTTTAGGATTCCTGTAGGACTCCTTTGCTGTCTTTCTGGAATGCACCCATCACAGATTTGGGGCCTTTCATCTTGCCTGTTTTGGAGAGGAATTATCTGATTTCTGGACTAAACCCTGAATGTACTAGGAAGATTTATCCCTAAATCTGTTCAGAATCAGTAGATCCCTTCAGGTGTACACGTGGCCTCTGTCCAGTTCCCCCATGGTCAAATTTAGGTATGGATTGTCTAGAAGAGTGGAATAGAGGCTACTGTCTCACTTGTTTTCACTGATTCTTTGTGGCAAAAATGATTATGCATCTTTAAGTGTTTTAGAAATTAGTGAAGAACAGTCATTCTTTGTCTCCGCAGGTGTAGAAAGCGTTCCAGTATTTTGCCTAATGGCCTAAAAGCTCAGGCTGAAGACAGATCCGAAGAAAGAGGAATACCGTTTTCTGTTAGCATGAGGCATGCCTTTGTTCCCTTCCCAGGTAATGCCCAGATCCTGCTCTGTGCCAGCTAATTGTTAAGAATATAGTTAACAAAAAATCCTAGATCTAATGAAGAGTTAAGAACTGATGACAGTATATATCTGACTGAGCAGCCTACTCGGAAAACTAATGCAGTAGTTACCATGTCCTCAAAATTATTCACAAGACTGTAAAGGAGAGCATTTCAACTGGGGGAAGTATTCAAATGTTATAATTCAAGTGTTCACACCTTCATTTCCTCTTTAAGAATACATATATTTTAAAGAGCTATACTTAGGCAGCTCTTAATACACAAATTACACTCTCTCTAGTGTTATTCCTATCCAAGTGTCAGTTCTCACATTGCCTGCCCTGGCCAGTACAAGTGTGCTGGTCTGATCTCTGTGCCGATCATTCCTATCAGGTGCTAGACTTTTGCACAGACACCTGGACAGATACTTGTCTGTGTGTTTTCGCTGGATTCTAGATGTAGGGGCTGGATGGAAAGCAAGCAGGCCTGGGCATTGGGGAAACAGGCAAGAATTTGTCCGATTTAATTTCTACTGTTTATTGGCACAACTTGCAGCAGTGGCAGAAGCAACCCCTAAAGATATTTGCAAGAAAACAGAGACTGAAGTTGCATAGAAATGGCTGTGGAAAACTTTCAGAGCAGAAGGTGCAAGGACAGCTTCAGTTCTTCTTGCTAGAATATTGGTTGGAATGTTGTTGGAGTAATTTATGAAATAATGATTTCTGCTACCTTGTTGACTTCAGGTGGCTTAATCTTGGCTGCTGATTACTCTCAGCTTGAACTGAGGATCCTTGCTCATTTGTCTTGCGACTCTCGACTCATTCAAGCCTTGAATGGGGGTGCTGATGTCTTTAAGAGCATTGCAGCAGAATGGAAAATGATTGATCCTGAAGCTGTTGGAGATAGGACCAGGCAACAAGCTAAACAGGTAACTTTTAAGAAAAAAAATTCAGCAGCAGCTTTCTGGGCAGGAAGGTTCAGTGTTCAAAACATCAGGGAGTCACAATAGTATGGTTTTCTGTTTGGGTTCGGCTGTGATTATTCAGCAGTTGGTTTGTATGTCCTCCCACTCTCAATACCTTTCAACTGGAGCTGTCTGGGTTTTGGGGGATGAGGGTGGAGAAAAGCAGCATGAATGTCTCGGACTCAGGGGTAGTCTCCCTTCTTGAATGCTTGTCCTTGTTCCCATACACCTGTCTTCCAGTGAATCACATTTTGTTTTGGCTCTGCTTTCTCTGCATGGCTCACCATATGGTTGCGGTTCTTCACACTGTCCTCTGGTAGATGTGCTATGGAATCATCTATGGAATAGGAGCAAAATCTTTAGGCGAGCAGATGGGGATTGCTGAAAATGAAGCTGCCAATTACATTGAATCCTTCAAATCAAGATACACAGGTTCGGATATGGCTGTTTGGGAGCTGGGTGGTGGTGGTGGTTGTTGTTTTTAATCCCTTTTCTCCATGTCTCTTCAAATCCTAAATTTGTCTCAGCCCTCTACTACTCCTATCTCTTTTGAAAAAGCTTTTAATTTTGAAAAAGTCCAGTGCCTGAACACAGCAGTTTGGTACTCCATAATGTTTTACTCTACAGTCTGTTTTTATTCATCTTTAGGACCTTGTTGTTTGCTTATTACATTAATTATTTTGTTGTTTTTTTAATTAATTAGTAAGCCCTGGGGATTCATTTTAAAGCTCTTAACTTTCTGAATAAGAAACACTGTTTTCCTTATTAAAACACATAGCTTTAAAGGATATGCAATACAACTTTAGACCCCACACTTCCTACAATTTTTAAATATAAACATTTCTCTCTTTTGTTCTTGTCTTCTGCTTTCATTGAGTTTTAAATTGTTTTGCATATATCCCTTACATTTTTATCCAGCTGCTCAGAGCAGCTCTCCCATATTTTGTAAAAAGACATTGTTGCATTTCTAAGAAGCATGTTAATTTTTAGGAAAGCTATAGAAAGAGTAGAGCTGCAATCAGAAAATGAATGGAGAGCAAATGGGATGAAAGACAGCTAGCTCTAATCATAAAGCTTGGAAATAAGCTGGAAAATTATGTTCTGAAGAGTCAGAGTTTGTTTCTTTAGGAGACAGATGCTGAGAAATGGTGTCCCATTAAGAGTCTGTTTTGTCTCCAGTAATTTCTGGATAGTGTCTCCTTCATGGTCATTAGAAACTACTTCCTGCTTCCTCCCTCTTGGTACACCTGCATACATAAAAACTCCGCAATGTACCTGTAACTTCACCTCTCATGAATTTTTACTTACATGTATTGCCAGGCTGACATGCTAAATTACATACCTAATGAATTGACTAATGCTGCCAGTCTTGATCCTGAATAGCTCCTTTTATATTTTGTAAACCTTGGAAAGAAACTGTCTGAAGTTAACTTTTTCCACTTTAGTGCAGTTGTTACCTGAACTTGCAGTGAAAGGGACTCTTCCCTGTGTCACCTTTCTTTGACCTAAGTTTCTGTTTAACGCCCTCAGTGGATTCACTCCTTCCCTTGCAAAGTGCAGGTGGGTGAGTTTCTTGCATCCTAGAATCTGAAGTGACACAAGTCTGAAGTCAGGCAGCCTGAGGCATCAAGCGCTCTGACTTCTGCTTTCAATTTACTCCCTCCCTACGACTAGTCTTTCCAGTGCTGGTCCAGGTCCTGACCTCTCCATTATCAGTAATACATGTATGGTCCTCTGTGCCTGGGCGCTGTGCAGAATGGACTTCCTACCTCCTTGTGCACAGCCAGATACCCTGACACTATGCACTCTCTTCCACTTCAAAAGACTTAATAGGTTTCCCAGCAGAGCTGCGAATAGGCTGCATGAGTGATCACACGCCCTTGTACACTGACAGGGTCTAGGAAATTTAAAGAATTACCTTTGTGCTGCTTGGGTGTCCCAGACTGCTTTCAGTGACCCCAGTGAGAAGTCAACATGGAACACCAGCTTCTCTTTCCTTTCACAGGGATTCAGAAATTCTTGCGGGAGACAGTGAGGAGCTGCAGGAAAGATGGGTTTGTGCAGACCATCCTGGGAAGACGGAGATACCTGCCAGCTATCAAAGATCCAAACCCCTACTGTAAAGCTCATGTATGTTGAGTGCAGTTTCTTTTTTTTTTTTTAAGTATTAGATTTCTTTGCATATCCGTATCTGCGGTTTTACAGGGTCTATGAGCCATCTTGGTCATGACCTTCCACTTCTCACTTAGTTCATTGTTCGCTTGGTTGTTCTCTGAATAACAGAGCTTTTGCCACGGTCTGCTTGACATAAGTCTTCCGTGACTGGGTGTGCAGCTGTCTTCACTGTGCTAACCTCACTTCAGAACTCCCATGTTGGAACAGGAGTGAGTAATTTATTGAAATAAGTGGACACGATTTTTAAAAGCCTCCACACAGTGATGTGCTCCAACTCTTCAGGCTGAGTTGCTGCCACTCAGCAGTCTTTGTATGTTATATGCTGTCAGCACTTGAACAAGAAAGGGCATTTAAGTCCTGTATTTTTGGGTATTTGTTCCTTTTCTTATTTTCCCTCAAAGGAAAATTGCTCAAACTTGTTAGATAAATATTTACTTAATATATGCCTTTGCACTGGCATTATTTTTTTTTTCAAGGTCATTTTGGACACATCTGTCATAGAGTCTACTTGATATTAACTAATTTTAAATTTGTGGAAATCCTGCTCTTCTCAGTCATCTGGAGAAATTTTCTGTCTGAAGCTAGTCTACAATGTCTTTCTTTCAGGCAGATATAACAAACTCTTTATCTGGAGGTTTTACTATGCCTGTATTTGGCCATGTATTTGTTATTTTTAATGAAGTACACGTTGCATGCTGGATTTGATTTATTTTTTGGGTGGGTTTTGAGAACAACTGTCTGTTTAGGCAGAGCGACAGGCTGTGAATACAACTGTTCAGGGATCTGCTGCAGACATTGTCAAAACAGCCACTGTGAACATTCAGAGACGCCTGGAAGCTTTCTCCTCTGTGATCAAGTCCCACGGACATCTGGAGAGCTCCTTCCAGAGAGATAGGACTGGTATGCTCACCTCTTCCTTGCACACTAGAGTAAAACTTTCAGTGTTTTACTGAAAACACTGATTTAAAAAAAAAAAAATTGCCTGCAAAAAAAAAGTTAGGGCCTTTGGGCTAGGGGTGGGAGACATTCCTGACAGTGGTTAAGTCTGTGTTTAATGGGCAAAAAAGTCATAAGGAAGGATGGAGAATGTCTGCTCAACACACAAACTAAAGCAAATGCTGTGATCAGATCAGAAATCCCTGTTGTCTCAAAGCAGATCTTCTTGCAAAGGTTGGCAGTGGGAGTTCATATGTGATATGGTCTATGATGCCACCTCAGAATTGTTCAAAAGTAGGAAGGAGAAACTGAGCAGATGCAGATGCTCTGGCTTCAAAGGCAGTGAAAAGATAGAGTGGAACAACTTCTAGTTCCAAACCCACATTTTTTTGGTTAGAATTAAGTCTGGAATTTGTTGGCTGGAATTTGATGTACAGAGGCTCCACAAGAGTATTACATGAAGCACTTAGCAGCATAAATTTCTTCTGGCTGCAGATAGCAAAGCTGTGCTGGGATACTCATTCCCAGAGGAATGCTATGAAGACAGTTTTTTAGTATAATGTAGACAGTGTTTTGTTCATCAGTCATATATTTTTAGAAAGACAACTTAAGGGATGGAGTGCTATATTTCTTTCATAGTTCTTATGCTTCAGCCTGAAACAGGAAGCTGTCTTAATATGAAGAGTCTGGTTTGTAGGACTGAGAACGAAAACTAAATAATTAATTGCTGGACCTTTAAAAATATGTCAGGGAGTCTTACTTTAGAGAGACAAGATTCAGAGGTCTGCTATGAGTGAAGGCATGTGCTTGGCAGAACTTCCCACCCCCTCTGGGAGCAGCAGCTACTGACCTTTGGCCAACGTAATTGCAGGAAGGCGAGTAGATGCATTTGTGATAGTTTTTCCTCTTCTGATACTAGCTGTTTCAAGGACTGGAAGGAATTCTCTTTCAGCAAGTTATAAAAGCCTATGCCATCAGAGAAGCATCCCGCATCATGTGGCTTCTTCAACATTGCTGCTTCAATGTGAGGCTCGTGTGAGGAGCTGATGATGCTGTGAAACCCTTCATGTAGGTTGTGAACTGGAGTCCTCCTGTTAGCTAACCTGAGAAATAAATAACTTTTGAGTCTGTGAGTGTGAGGTTGTGTTTGTTTATTTTTTTTAAAAAAAGCTTTTACCATGGAACTGTTTGTTCAGTTTTATTTTTGTCAGGCAAGGCCTACCAGGATCCTGTTTTTGTCAGCTGCTTACTTGTTTATTCAAAAACTGCTCTTTTTTTCTTTCCTTTTTTTAATCAGGAATAGTAGCTACAATTTCAGATAACTGCATTTGGGAGGAGGCTTACTGCTTTTTTAGACTAGCCATTAAAATGATTTTGGAAGAAAAGCAGAATCCTAATTCATTGCCAGAGAGAATGTTGTAAACCAACTTCTGATTAAACTTGACATGATTTTGTTTAAAATCTACTTTTAAAACAGATGGTTCAGGAGACACAACTGTCTCTTGTTTCTGTTCTGATTCATATCTTTATAATGTAAGGCTGAAATGTTTACATCAAAAATGCTTAGCACTAACATTTTCCCCTCAGTAGCTGTACAAATATTGATAGAATAGTAATGTTTTGTGGTTTTATCTGTAGGCATGGGCTTTTTCATTTTAAAGTTCCTCATGTTCTTTTTCTCAGCATTAGGAATGTGTGAGGGTTTTTTAATGATGGGAAACATGCCTTTGCATAATGGTATCTAACGAACTGTGCTCTTCACCTGTGTAGGAAGGCTAGCGAGGAAGAGAAACAGAGGGATGTTACATCCCATCAGCGGAGGTTTCTTTATCCTCCAACTCCATGATGAGCTCCTCTATGAAGTTGCAGAGGACGATGTCATCCAGGTACAGCCATGCAGTTGCTTTTTCAGCTATCTACTGCATTACGATGTTTCAAACAAGCCTTCCTTCTAGGGGCTCAGCTTTTCTTCCCTGGATCCTCTCTCACTGTGTGCTAAAAGGTCTGTGAAAGCAACGTTAAATTGGATGAAAAATGATGTTTGTATTCTTGATTCCTTTATTTTCAGACTCAAGCCATCCCCGTGGCTGAAGTTCATTTTTCCAGCGTGTGCTTTGCTGCTTATAACAGCAGTTTGTACAATTTCTCTGCAAGACTTGATGAGTGAAGTAGCTTAATGTTGTTGGCAGGTGTAGAGGGAAGTTTTTCCTCGTTTGGAGGTATTTTTGCCTCCCTGTTTACACTCGTGTCTTCTGGTGCCTAACTCAGAACGTGTATTGTTACAGCTGTG